TCTCTCTCTCTCTCTCTCTCTCTCTCTCTCTGCCATTAATTGATTGACTGACTATCACCACAACAACAGGTCTAATAGTGTCGATGATGTTGGAGCGGCTCTCGTGGTACGTCGGCGAACAGAACCTGAAGACCGAACTCAAAGATCCGTCCAAACTGTTCGCCGACTACGCCATCGGCGTTCTCGACCTGTGCTTCTCTCAGGACGAGTCGCGCGCCAACGATGTGCTCAGCGAAGACCCCGTCGAGTGGAACTACAAGACAGCGGTGGACATCGCGGCCAACGCCCGTCTGCGCACGTTTCTCGCCCACCCGTGTTGTCAGAAGTGGTTGACCAACACATTCCTCGGCAATATACGGCTCCGGGAGATGAGTTGGGGCTTCTTCTCGATGCCGCCGTCGGTGAAGATACTGTTGTCGGCGCTGTTGGTGTTCCCGATGTACGTGTGGGTCAGGTTTAGGCCGAAGTCGGGCCGACAGTCGGCACACGACGAGCGCACCGAAGAACAGGAGGACGAGAGGGACGCCATGGATGAGGAGCAGCATCTGATCAACGCTCAGGCGGCGGCGGCCACAGCGGCCGGCGGTGATGGCCAGAAACCCAGCGTAGGCTTTGTCGGCACTTTCATTCCCGGCCCAGTGGGTGATGCCTTCGAAGAGGCCGGCGATCTGTTGAATAAAACTGGCGAAGAGTTGGCCAAACAGTCGCGTCACTACCAGACAGTTATCAAACACCGCGAGCTATTGATCCGCAAACAGCCGCCGCTCTTCACAATGATCTACGACATGTGGAACGCGCCGATTACCAAGTTCTGGATGTTTAACTTGTTTTACATCATATTCTTAGGTTTGCTAATCTCTGGAACCGATTGGTGATAAACCCTATTGACTAAACTATTATTATTATTATCATTATTGACACAGTGTTGTTCAGTTTGGCGCTGGTGTGGCCCTCGTGCGGGAACTACTACTTGGACTCGACTGTGTGCGCGTGGACTGGTATGTATATACACATAGGTTGTGGTTAGGGGTCACCCTTATTAAACAAGGGGTGACACTTGGGTTAGCGATTAATACTACTAATTAATTTGCCAATCATTTACAGCTCTCATACTTCTGGAGCACATCCGGCGCACATTCGTACTGTACCGCAAGTACACGTCTGTGCCCATCGTATTCAAATGCATGGAGATCGTGGCCATCATTGTATTCGTGGTGATCTACGCCTCCGGGCGTGTGTTTGACCGCCGCATCTTTGGCTACTACACCATGAAAGTGATGCTATCGTTCGCACTCATCTACTTTTACTACCGCCTGTTCGCCGTACACCTGCCCATCAGTCCAACACTCGGTCCGCTACTGTATCGGCTCAAGCTGATGATCACGGTCGATTTTGTCAACTTTATGCGTATGGCGTTACTCGTGATTTGTAGCTCAGGTGTGGTCATACAGGCCGTGCTCTACCCCGACGAACCGCTCAGCCTTAAGATGTTTCGCCAGGCGTTTCATCGGGCGTTTTTCACCCTATTCCTCACGCCTACCTCCGAGATAGTAGGTTTGTGCGCAACATTTTTTGTTTGTGGTTATCATCGGGTTTTTTGGGTACACTTTTGGGTTTAAAATGGTTATAAAATAAGGCTTTATTTAATTAGTGGGCGTTTAAAAACGTAAATACAATACTATTTATACAAAATGCAAATGAAAAACAAAGAACTCTTTAAGAGGCATAAAATATATGTATAGACAACTCCCGGAGCGCTTCACTCGTATCTATAGATGGGTTCCCAGTGAACGGTATACCAGAGTCGGCCCCTGTCGTAGTCGTGGCCCACAATCTGGCCGTTAAGGCTCTCATCGGCGATGATCTGTCGCACAGGTATATACACCCGACCAATGAGTTCATCCATATTGAACTTATCCGAGTCGAAGAGCTCGAACTGCAGTATGGCTTCGGGCGCCACCCGGAGCCGGTGCTCGAACAGGTAGTTCCACTTCGGGGCCATCGTGTTGTGGTCCACTTTGGAGCGGCCAATCTTCTGGTGCTGAGCGCCGGTAATCACATATAGATCCACGTATGCGTCCGCTCTCTTCGAGAACAAAGTCTTGTCCATCTGCGGGACAGTGGCGTTGTTGACGATAATCGAGGCCAGTATGTAGTCCAGCACTCGCCGTGTGGTGACCTCCGGTGCGATGGTTGTCGTTGTGGTTGTTGTGCGAGTAGTGGTGGTCTCTTCGATGAGTCCCAACGCCTGTATAGGATTGTCCCGACTTTCGGAGTAGGAGTGCTGTGACGCTGAGACCAAGTCCTGGTCGTGGTGTGTGTCTCGATGTCGGGGCACCAGTAGGAACACCAGTAGAGCTGTGGCCACGACCAGCGCTGTGCCCACAATGGCTAACCGTTTCCAGTCGAGCCACTGTCTGGTGCGCGCTATGGTGTGCACTGGGATCAGCTGCAGTGCGCCCATTGTGTCGGCCGCCGACTTCTTGAACGACACGGTAAAGTCCTTCATGGGTTGTCTGGTGTGAGTGCTGTCCACCGATTGGTCGTACGTTAGCTCCTTCTTGAGCTGTTGTGTTGGATATTGTGTTGAGTTTTTTTTGGTATTGAATTATAAGTAGTTTTTAATTACATTTTTAAGTTTTACTTATTTTTTATGATAAGATATTTGATTACCTCGTGTGAAGAAGCGCTGGATTTTGGATACATTGTTTGAATGAGAGTTGTATTTTTGTTGCTACGTTAATATTACTGATGATGAATTGAAATGCTTAATTAAAATAGTTTTTTTAAATAGTGGTAATCGTAGGTATTTTAATGTAGCGTATTTTTGATACCACTATTTTAACTTTAACTTTATGCTATGTTGTTTAAATTACTAGTATCGCACCGTACACTACAATTATACTGTAATATGATATTATTAATTGGGAATTTAAATATTATGTTATTATTATGAACAACAAAAATTACAATATTATCGTAACATTAGTTTCCTGTCACTCGACTCACGACACTTCCAATACATATAAACTTTTATTACATTAATTGGCTATTGATTTGTGATTTGAAACAAAAAACTTTTTGATTTTTTATAACATAAATATTCATATGATTTACAGATTTAATTGAGATATCAGTTGTGGAGAGAGAAACACATTTGGCGTTCATATGATTTTCAATACATGTTTTGAAATGCGAAATATGATAACAAACTCAAACATGAAGTAGTTTTTCTGGTGATACCCTTGAGAGCACTGGGCATATGTGGTGGTNAACTCAAACATGAAGTAGTTTTTCTGGTGATACCCTTGAGAGCACTGGGCATATGTGGTGGTGAATGCGTATACCAGTGCTGGGATATAGTTGGGTGACGGGTGTTGTCCCCCTCTTATAAACGCCAGTTCCTTTCCTTATTATATGGTTTATCAATGGCTGTAAAGTATACTCTGTATTGTAGACTCTCTTTAGATTATGATAAGTTTTGGTATAAAACTAGTTAGTTTGGTGTCGACTCTCCCTCCCCCATGTTATACCTATGCGCACCTGTATTGTGAATACCTGGAAATATGACGGTTTATTTACCAAGTATTGCATTGCAAACCGGACTAACCCTAACCTAACGGTGCATTGTATTGAGTCTATGATATCATTGCATATATTGAAGTGACAAAAACAAATTAATATACCGTTTATTCGTGTCAAACGCGACATACTTTTGTCACTTTATATCTAGTTTTGTTTTGAACACATTTTAGTCAACGCATACATGAATAGCATATTTTTGATTATAACAAAATAATAATTGTTTCAAATAAATAGGCATTCATTTGATTCAAACAGTAGTTTCAATGACAAACTGTTTTTTGGCAAAAAGATAATTAGGTTTAAAAATTCAAACACTTATAATCGTATTAAATATTGCTATTGAAAGTGCAGTGTAAGCAAATGTATGTACACTATTCGTACCTGTAGTCTATCCACTCGTATAATGTACTTCAATATTTCAATATAAATGTGTTGTTTCCATGAATATCATCTTATTTTGGGCACACCTTTCCAGCCCTTCCTCTGCCATACATTTACCCCTTTTTATATTGATTTTTGTGTTTAATAGATAAATGCTTAATGACTTTTATCGATATGATTTTTTCTCTACTGTACAGTACAATATAATGTACACAGTATCTGTAGATAAGATAAACGGTGTGTCAATATTTTGAGATTATCCAGGAACTTTTTTTTAGACAAAAATAACTTTATTTTTATCAAAGTTTAATTTATGATATTTATAATTTATAAACTTTTTAGTTTTAACTTTCAATCCATACGTACAACAAGTGATGGTAAAAGTATAGAAATATTTTTGTTTTATTAAGTTGGTTTTAATTTATTAAATGTTTATTTTAGTATTAAGTGAATAATTAATTGAATTGATAAAACGTGTTCATTGTATTTGTTTTACATATTTAAACAGTAATTGAGACAAATATTTAAGCATTTTTTTGGGAGTGTTTTTATCTATAAATATAAATATAATATTTTTTTGTTAACAATTTTAACATCAGTTTTCAGTTAAAAACAAACCCTTTTTGCGGTACAAAAAACTTTATATATTAACTAGGATCTCAAAAAAAGTTATCAAAACCCCGGGGCACACCTCCCGGTGCTAACCCCTCCACACATCCCTATCTACTAAACCCTAACCCCTGTACACCTCAGTCCAGGAGACGGTAAACCAGAGTCGACCGTCGGTGAACTCTCTGTCCACTTGCTTACCATTGGCCGTTTCGGCCATCAAATCGGACATTTTGACCACAAATCGGCCGATAAACTCGTCGGCGTTCCAGCGCTCCTTATCGTACACCTCGAAGAGCAGCACACTGTCCACCCGGAGGGTCATCCCTTTGGCCATCTGGTAGTCCCACACCGGCGACAGTGTGTCCTTATGGGCACCCGTGGAGCCGATGTACTGATTGTCGGCGTAGGCCTTGACGTAGGCGTCACTCTGGCCCGCGGTTATCGACCGGTCTTTGTTGGGCACCTGTCCTTTGTTGACCACTATTGTCACCAATAGGTGATCGATGATTGGCTGTGCGGTGGTTGCCGTAGTTGTTGTACGTCTTGTTGTCGTACTCGGAGTCGTTGACACTGTTGTTGTTGTTGTTGTTGATGGTGTGGTTGTTGTGGTAGTGGTTGTCCTCCTTGTTCTTGTCGTAGTAGTCGATGGTGTAGTGGTTTTGGCGGTGGGAGTAGTGGTGGACAAGGGTTTGGTTACCACCACCGGTCCATCGCTAGTACTATTGCTGATAATCTTCTCGGCCTTACTATCACCACCGCTTCCGTGGCTGTGGTTGTGGTCATCGCTACTGAGTGTTGTTTGATGTGCTGTGAGATCGATGACCAGTTGGCCGACCACCACGAGTATGGCCACCGCCGCGGCCACCAGTATTACCCCGACGGCCACTTTGGTGTACTTGACTCGCTTGACAAAGTCCGACCTCCGGAACGGCTTGATCTCGACGTCTTCGCCGTAGGCGTTGAACGCGGCGCCGACGCCCGCACTTACCCCTCCGGTGGCACCCCTTCCCAGGCATTTGGTCTAAACATCCGATTGTAATAAAGTGTTAATTTAATTAATGAGTTGTTTAAATGGTTGGCATTTAAAGACCTTATCGTCCATTTCATGTGATATTTTCTTTGTGTATATACTCTGTGTATATGTCTGTCAGTCTATTCCTCTCTCTTTCTGTTTGTGGTGTTTTGTGTTTATCAATGAAATGGTGATAAAAATCAAGTCCTCCTCCTCTTTGCCAATGCATTCAATCACTCGATAGGCAGTGAAATGAATGAGAAAATAAAATAAAAGTTTTATTTTTCGTTTTATTACAATATCCGCTCAAAACTGGCGGAGAGTTTAGGCCTATCCTCTAATTATGGGGATATTTATTGATATTTATATGAGTTCTCATTTCACAGACTCTCTCTCTCTCTCTCTCTCTCTCTCTCTCTCTCAATATGAAGGGATGTGTGGTTTGAGATGTGGGGATGCGATAAATGTTGGACTTAATTGAGAGAGAGAGAGAGAGAGAGAGAGAGAGAGAGAGAGAGAGAGAGAG